TTTTGCCGTGTTGCCCAGTCTGGTCTTGAACTCATGAACTCAAGTGGTCCACCCATCTCAGCCTTCCAAAGTTAATGGGATTACAGGCATGAGCCACCACAGTTAGCCAAGAGGACAGTTTCTGTATACTTCCTGAAGGTCCATTAAAATAGGTTCGGGTTCATGTTTTACTGGATTTCAGCTCTTGACAGTGTCTAAAGTAAATGGATTGTTTTTAATCCATGTGCGTGTATGATGAAATTTCAAGTGACTAAAAATTTTTAATATGTGTATTTGGTTCTTAATGAGTTTTTACTTATTTGAAATAGAAAATTTTGTAAACATTTTAAAAACGCTCTGTGCTATTACAAAACGTATCCATTTCTTGATGATTCCAGGCTGCCACTGTGGCAAGGAATGCCACCTGGCCTCCTGACTGCTATATATTTTTTCCTAGTAACATTCTTTGCCTTTTTAATAATTTCCAAATAAATTCTTGGGGTTTTTTTGGTAGAAAATTTGGAGAGTACTAAAAGGCACAGAACAAAGAATCCAACATTTCCCACCATCCAGAGACTCTGTTTGGGGATATGTCCTCCAGGGAACTGTTGTGTATATGCTGCTGTGGTAGCCTTCTGCCATCACTCAGCTGAGAGTCCTTTCTCCATATTGCTAAATGTGACTGCTTCATAGAGATGGTCTAGGCTGCCTTGCAGAGGAGCTGTGTCTTCCTCACAGTGAAGTGGTTGGCTGTCACCCTGTAGCCTTGCGTTGCCTCAGTTTACTGCAGTGAGAAGCCACGTAACCAAGTTGTACCAGCCCAGAGTCCAGGCCAGAGGTGGACTCCTGTGAAGAGGGGTCTCCTGTGTACACGGTCTCCATGGTCTTAGCCACCTGCTAGGACTATAGGGGAGTTGATTCATTCCTCCCTACCCCGAGTCTGTGGCCTGTGCGAAGTGTAGCTCCCCACTTAGAAAATGTTATAAAATTGGTGGTAGTGATTTCCATCCAAAGATTTTGTTAGTCCACTTACCAACAGGTAACTGCTTAAATGTACTGACCATGTGCTCATAAAAGTAAAATACTGTAATTACAGAAATAAATTCAACATGTTTAAGACTTTCTGGTATCAGGTTAGTGGAATTTCTCTTAATAACATTCTTATTGCACAAAGGGCACAGCTTCCTTGGGGTCCTAAGGCAGAAGGCACCTGAATAACACTCCTTGTTTATGGGGACTGTTGGGCTTCTCTGTGCTCAAGGGCCAGGAGCGCCTCTTCTCTTGAAGTGCAAGTGCCGCTCTGGTGGGTTTTGAGGCTGCGGTACAGAACATTTAACCTATATAATGATGAATGGCTCATCTGAAAAAAGGAATTCATGAGAAAATCTTTAGTTTTGCATCTTTTCGCAGATGTTCAAATACTTTATTTATTTTGCAGGAATTTGCTATAAGCAAAAATATCCAATTGGGTGATGAGAAGGGCTTAAAATTCCCCTCCGTTTGGGACTGGTCACTCCAGTTTACAGCAAAGGACCGCACCCTTTTCCATAACCCCTTCTACATTGGAAAGAGCACACCTTGTGTACAGAATGGCTCCATGAAGTCTTTTAAACGGACAAAGGTAAATGACAGCTAACAAAACCTGATGTTGGCTCACATGTAACCAAACACATCGTTTTCAGAACAGAGAGCATTAAAAATAAAGGTGCTTCCAACAGTAACACCGCTAATGCCGGTTTCTGAGGGGTCATTCCCTTTTTAACTGAAATGACTATATCCCAACTTTCTTCTCGGCGTCTGAGGCCCACGAAGGCTCAGTACCTGAGCATGGGCAGACTGCGGCTCTGAGCCTGCCAGCCCCGTTTACTGAAACCCATCCAGTCTGCTGTTCTTGATACAACCAGCCAGGTCTGGGTTTTTTTCCCAACCCTAGTCTTAGAACTTATCCTTAAGCAAATTAGTGGCTAGCAGGTACTCTCATCCCTACCCCTATTCAGGCTGATGGTGATAGCCTAGGTAGAGTCAACACCTAAGAAAAATTTTAAGGGGAGGAGGATTAGAATACAGACTGCAAAGAAGGGAGGAAAATGTTCTTTGAAGCGGAAATTCCATTAATTTTTCATAGTATTGAGTTTATATTTGCCATTGCATCCTTACAATCTTTCTAAAAAGGGAAACCCCGGAACATAATGGTAAAATCTCTTCTGTATAGAAAAGCTACAGCTCTACACTAAGAGGAATGCCATCATCCTTAAAGAATGGAATCATCAGTGACCAAGAATTACCTCCAAGGAGAAATTCATTGATATTAAAACTAAAGCCAGATCCACCTCAGCAAACCAACAGCCAGAACAGTGACATGGAGCAGTATTTTAGAGAATGGTTTTCCAAGCCAGTTGACCTGCACGCTGTTATTCTGCCACGTGTCTCTGGAACACACTTAAAACTGTGGAAACTGTGCTACTTCCGCTGGGTTCCCGAGGCCCAGATCAGCCTAGGCGGCTCCATCACAGCCTTTCACAAGCTCTCCATCCTGGCCGACGAAGTCGATGTGCTGAGCAGGATGCTGCGGCAGCAGCGCAGTGGCCCCCTAGAGGCCTGCTATGGGGATCTGGGCCAGAGCAGGATGTACTTCAGAGCCAGTGGCCCCAACGACACCTCAGGGACGCCAGAGTTTCTCTCCTCCTCATTTCCATTTTCTCCTGTAGGGAATCTATGCAGACGAAGCATTTTAGGAACGCCATTAAGCAAATTTTTAAGTGGGGCCAAAATATGGTTGTCTACTGAGACATTAGCAAATGAAGACTAAAATAGGATGTTTTCTGAACATTTTGAGGGAAGCTGTAAACTTTTTTCCTCCAAATTCAAATTGCTAACCTAGGCATTTGAAGCTCTAATAACTTTATATGTAAAAATAGTTGGAATTTGCACTAATATTTAAAAACATGTTGAATCATGCTTTTTTTCACACTGTAAAACAGATACAAATTTTGTTTCTGTCCTCTTTCTGTCATTACAGGTCTGGCTCTTGTAACTGTGATCAAACTGTTCATTTTTCTGTCTGCTACATTTTTGTCTCCATCCGTTTCCTACTGCCTCCTGAAGGCTATCTGATAGTCACATTAGCAACCCCAAGCAGCAAACAGGAAAGATAAGAAATTTGCGTTTTGTATCATTTTCAGTTACATCTGATAAAACCTCCAGCAGGCTTTAGGAACTATTCATGTATTTTTCTGGTCACTTTCTGTCATCTGTAATTGAACTCACCTGATGAAGGTTCAGTGTTCTGTGGCCAGAATTTATTTTAGATCACCTTCTTGGAGACCATAGATCACTGTGTTTTGAAATCAAGAGTTTGCTTTTAACTTCATAGGGCTAACTTTAAAATGATATGCACTGTTAACTTTAAAGCATTTGCTGTATATAATTAAACTTAGAAGTGCCTTTGACATTAAGATACAAATATTACAGAGGAAACTATAATTTTACTTCTAAAATTGGGGTGTGAAAATCCCATTGCATATCGGAAATAGGCTTTTCATATTAAGTTTCATAGCCAGGAGTCCCCAAAGTCCTGTTCCTCTGAAAGCCACTGGGGAGTGGCCTGTGGGTTGCTGATTCCTCTGAGAGGTTGGTGGTGTAGACAGGAGAGTGCCATCTATGCCGAAACCCACCCTCAAAAACAAGGCTTGCTGGGAGGCGTGCTGGGCTTGGCCATCAGTATTTCTAACGTGGTAAACTGTTGCCGGCACTTCTTGAAAGTTACTAATGAGGTCATGAGTTGGGCGCTTGCACAGATACTCTCCTTCTGTCATAGCTCCTAATGCTTAGGAATAGAGAAATAAAAATGGATTCTCTCAGAACACTGCCGTTTGATTAAATAGTGAGAGAAGTCCTCCCCAATCTCCGACTTACGACAGCAAAGTTGAGAATGAGCAGACAGTTGTTTGCTTGATCTGAAACTCCCTCATTTCCAAACTGTGACAGGAGCCTACCCACCACTGTAGAGGTCAAAGCTGAAGCTTACAGCAGTGAAAAGGGGCACCATCTCCCCCACACTCCTTATTCCCTGCTTAAAAGGTGGACGCTTTCAAATTTGACTGTTCGTTTCTTAAACTGCCATCCTAAGATACGGAAAATTGTTATAGTAATAAGTGTCTAGTTAGCTTATTTCCTTTTCTAAAACAAGTTTTTCCAAGATAGCTATATTTTATCTTTATGTGTACTGAGTAGCTGTTTCTATTTGAATTATTTGCCTTTTAAAAATTGATATTGTCTCTGGATATAACAGGACAGGAGTTCTTAGAAAATATCTTCAGAAATTTACTTTATGGGTAAACCCAAGGTTTTTGCCAATTTGTTGCCTAGAAAATAAGGGCTATTTTTAGTTTATACAAATAGAATTATTAAACATTTTTACAGTCCTTGATTGGAAACCAGACCCAGTCTCCTTATAACACCACAGTGCATCCTGCCGTTGATAGTGTAATCGTGATTCTCCCTTTTTCATTTAGCTGCTTTTTTATTATTACTTTTGGATTGAGCATTTTTCCCTCTGTAATTTTCTTCCCTCACATTTCTGTATTTTAACTTCTGTAGTATTTTATTGTTGTTAATTTACAAGTTTAAAAGTATTAGGTACTATTAATAGTTTAAAATAGAAAAATGCCTATTTTTATGATAATCAGATGTAGTGAAAGAGTTTTATTTTTGCTGGACAGTTGTTATATCATGATTATTGTGCCACAGTTTATTGTGCATAATATGAAAAACAACTATGACAGCCTTCAGTCAGGCCAGGCTAAAGCTAGCTGCTCAGCACTTCTGCTGTCAGAGGGACACGTGGTGACAGCAGTGGTGTGGCTGCACAGAGCGCACTAGAGAGCGCTCAGCACCCCTGCTGCCCACCAGCAGAACTCGTGTGGGGGAACGCCCTGCAGATGCTGACGCGCTGGACGAAATTTCTAGTATTGAAAGTAAAGGTGTACAGTTTCTTGCTGTCATTTTATGATGGAAACCAATTTTGAAATGAAAAATGTCTAACTTTATTTAAGGAAAGGATATTAATTTGTACTAACAGAGGGTGAAAGCTGTTCGCATCCGTCAGCAAAATCTGCTTGCTGCAGTAGTAACCTCAAGTGATTAAAACTTTATTTCCAGAGAAAACTAAAACCTTAGTGCCTAAAATTGATGACTTGAGTTCAAGTGGGATGAGCAGGAAGATGTGAGATTTTCTTGTTTAAAAGTAATGAATGTGAAGGAAGTTTTGATTGCTTAATAAAATTTCCACAGCAACTGTTTGTCGTTGTCAGTATGAAATCATCTACAGGAACACGGTGATGGAAGATGTGAAGGTATCTTCTCCATTCCATACTTCTGTGTCATCCATGGGACGTTTCTCCTTGCCCTCTAAAGCCAGGTAGTGATCAGTGATTTTTTTAACAGTAATTCAGAAGTGGCTCAAGTTAAAGCCATGTGGATATTGATGGACAATGCCCTAACTGGTCCTTCCATTCAATAAATTCAGAACAAGTCAAAAGATTGGGATTACAGTCCCTGACTCCTGGGCCTGGCGCATGGATAAATCACCTACCACACCCCTTGCCCAGCCTGAGACCCTCTCACAAATGAGCAGCCCTGATTTGACTGTCAACAGAGAAAATACCCCAATCTAGTTATTAGGGATGGTCCCAAGGAGAAGGACAATGAGAAACAACTACTTCTGATAAAGACTTCACTCCTTTCATGATCTGGGGCTGATCAGTAGAACAAGCATTGAGATGTCTTAACACAGCTTCGTGAGAATTTTTGAATAATTCCTAAAGAAATTGGAATTTCAACTGTTTCTGCCACCTTAATCATAAAAGTTTAAGAGCTAAATGTGTAGGGCAGTAAAGAAAAATTGAAGATTCTCAGTTTCCCATATTATTAATTACTTGAAGGAAAGGTTGCTTATGCTACTTTTACAAAAAATCTAAAAATATGAATCATCACTGGTTTTTGAGTTTTCTAGCTTTTTGCATGTCTAATCATATAAATGCATCCAGCTCCAAAAATGGTCAACAAGGTTTTTCCCTTTTAAAAAGTTCATTACTGGCTGGGTGTGGTGGCTCACGCCTGTAATCCCAGTATTTTGGGAGGCCAAGGTGGGTGGATCACTTGAGAAGTTCAAGATCAGCCTGGCCAGCAAGGCAAAACCCCATCTTTACTAAAAACAAAAATTAGCCGGGTGTGGTGGTACACACCTGTAATCCCAGTTACTGGGGAGGTTGAGGCAGGAGAATTGCTTGAACCCAGGAGGCAGAGGTTGCAGTGAGCAAAGATCACACCACTGCTCTCCAGCCTAGGCAACAAAGTGAGACTCTGTCTCAGGGTGGGGCGGCGGGGGGGAGCTCATTACTTACTGTGTGTGGAATCAATGAGTGTATTCAAGCAAACACTATTTTATGATATACTGACACTGTACGATGACAAGTCAAACTATCAGGTTTATAATGGACAGTAACAAAACTAATTAAAACATGATCTTTATATCAAAATCTTACATCAGTGTATGACCAAATATCCCCAATTCCATAGCTTTTAGCTAAGGCTTTGGCTCTTTGCTCCAACTGCAACCACATGGCAGACTTCTACTTCAGCTCCCAGCTTCTGCAGCTCATCCAACCAGATCATCTGCTTATGTGAAAGGCGATCACTGGGGCCTTTAACTTCCACCAGCTGTAAGAGAAATTTTTAAAAGTTATTAGTATCTTACTGAAACTGAAAAGCCATCCAAATAAGTTACTGTAGTTGTCACTGACAACGATTTAAATGGCTCTTCTGCTTTCTCACTGTATTTGTAAGTATAACACAAACAGACGAATGGTCCTTCACTTAGAATGGTTCGCCTTAGGATTTTTTTACTTTAAAATGGTGCAAAAGTGATACACACTCAATGGAAACCATGCTGAGTTTTGATCTTTTCCCAGTATGATACTCGATGCTGGGCAGCAGCAGTGAGCCACAGCTCCCAGTCAGCCACACGATCATGAGGGTAACCAGTACTCTGCGGTGCGGAGGACTAGATGATTCTGCCCAACTGTAGGCTGACGCATGCGTTCTGAGCACATTTAAGGTAAGCTACGCTACGCTATGAGGTTTTGGTGGGGTTAAGTATGTTAAACGCATTTTCAACAAGATTTTCAGTTGATGTGTAGGATTTATCAGGGCATATCTCTCCATCACAAGTTGAGGACCATCTGTATGCAGCTGAGAAATTTATTCAGAAATGTTTCTATTCTGTAGAAACTACACAGTTCCTCAACAGAATATCAGTAAGTGCATTCTTAGTATAGCAAATGAAAAATTGTTTTAAGGAATGTACTGGGTTTTACTTCCCTACTTAAAACCTTCCAGTTTTCTGTTACATTTTCAATTAGATCTAAACTTCTTGCCATGACCAGTCTCTTCCCTACCTAAGGCCCTCACTTCCACTTGCTACTTGCTGTTCCCACTGCCTCGGACATTTCTCCCTGTTGTTGGCATGCCTGACTTCTTACCTTTAAATGCTCAGCTTAAACTCATCTTGAGAGGTCACAGCTATAAGTAGATCCTCCCTACGCATTTCTTTTATGGCATTCATAACATAAAAATATGTGCTACATGTCATCTTCATAATGGCAGGAATTGTGTTCACTAACCACCACCAGAAGACAATAAAAACTATCGTAAAGTATAGAAAAAACGTATTTTAAATACAGCATTCAGCAGCCTAATAGACATTTAATTAGAGTCCCCAAAAGAACAATAGAAAAAAATAAAGAAAAAAATGGCCAAAATTTTTCCAGATTTGGAGAAAACTATAAACCCAAGGATTCAAGAAAATCAACTAATCCCAGCCCCCAAATGTAATAGTACCCTAGGAAATGCCATACCTGTATATTCATTAATGGAAGGGATATAGTCAAAACAGCAAGAATTTATTTTTATTTTTCTAAACTTACTTTAGGTCTACCATATGGGTTTTTTTTTTTTTTTTTTTTTATTGTACTTTAAGTTCTGCAGTACATGTGCAGATCTTGCAGGGTTGTTGCATAGGTATACACATGCCATGGTGGTTTGCTGTCTCCATCCCCCCATCACATACATCAGGCATTTCTCCCAGTGTTATCCCTCCCCAATCTCCCCGCCTCCCGCTGTCCCTCCCCTGTCCCTCCCCCAGCCCCAACCTCCCCCAACATGCCCCAGTGTGTGATGTTCCCCTCCCTGTGTCCATGTGTTCTCACTGTTCAACACCTGCCTATGAGTGAGAATATGAGGTGTTCGGTTTTCTGTTCTTTTGTCAGTTTGCTGAGAATGATGGTTCCATGATTGATCCATGTCCCTACAAAGGATATGAACTCGTTTTTTATGGCTGCGTAGTATTCGATGGTGTATATGTGCTACATTTTCATTGTCCAGTCTATTATCAGTGGGCATTTGGGTTGGTTCCAGGTCTTTGCTATTGTAAACAGTGCTGCAGTGAACATACATGTGCATGTGTCTTTGTAATAGAATGATTTATAATCCTTTGGGTATATACTCAGTAATGGGATTGTTGGGTCAAATGGAATTTCTATTTCTAGATCCTTGAGGAATCACCACACTGTCTTTCACAATGGTTAAACTAATTTACACTCCCACCAACAGTGTAAAAGTGTTCCTATTTCTCCACATCCTCTCCAGCATCCACTGTCTCCAGATTTTTTAATGATCGCTATTCTAACTGGTGTGAGATGGTATCTCAATGTGGTTTTGATTTGCACTTCTCTAATGACCAGGGATAATGAGCACGTTTTCATATATTTTTTGGCCTCATATATGTTTTCTTTTGAAAAGTGTCTGTTCATATCCTATGCCCACTTTTGAATGGGGTTTTTTTTTCTTGTAAATCTGCTTTAGTTCTTTGTAGATTCTGGACATTAGCCCTTTGTCAGATGGGTAGATTACAAAAATTTTTTCCCATTCTGTTCGTTGCCGGTTCACTCTGATTGTTTCCTTTGCTGTACAGAAGCTCTGCAATTTAATTAGATCTCATTTGTCTATTTTGACTTTTGTTGTCATTGCGTTTGGTGTTTTAGTCATGAAGTCCTTGTCTGTGCTTTTGTCTTGAATGGTATTACCTAGGTTTTCTTCCAGGGTTTTTATGGTGTTAGGTCTTGTGTTTACATCTTTAATCCTTCTGGAGTTAATTTTAGTATAAGGTGTAAGGAAGGGGTCCAGTTTCAGCTTTCTGCACATGGCTAGCCAGTTTCCCCAACACCATTTATTAAACAGTCAATCCTTTCCCCATTGCTTGTTTTTGTCAGGTTTGTCAAAGGTCAGATGGTTGTAGAGGTGTGGCGTTGCCTCCAAAGCCTCTGTTCTGTTCCATTGGTCTATATCTCTGTTTTGGTACCAGTACCATGCTGTTTTGATTACTGTAGACTTGTTGTATAGTTTGAAGTCATGTAGTGTGATGCCTCCAGCTTTGTTCTTTTTGCTTAGGATTGTCTTGGCTCTGCAGGCTCTCTTTTGGTTCCCTATGAAGTTTAAGGTGATTTTTTACAGTTCTGTAAAGAGGATCATAGGTAGCTTGATGGGGATAGCGTTTATATATTATTTTGGGCAGCATGGCCATTTTCACAATATTGATTCTTCCTAAACATGAGCATGGAATGTTTTTCCATCTGTTTGTATCTTATTTCTTTGAGCAGTAGTTTGTAGTTATCCTTGAAGAGGTCCTTTATATCCTTTGTTAGTTGTATTCCTAGGTATTTTGTTCTCTTTGTAGCAACTGTGAATGGCAGTTCGCTCTTGATTTGGCTCTCTGTTAGTCTGTTATTGGTGTATAGGAATGCTTGTTATTTCTGCACATTCATTTTGTATCCTGAGACTTTGCCGAAGTTGCTTATCAGTTTAAGGAGATTTTGGGCTGAGACGATGGGGTCTTCTAAATATACAATCATGTCATCTGCAAATAGAGACAATTTTACTTCCTCCCTTCCTAGTTGAATACGCTTTCTTTTCGTTGCCTGATTGCTCTGGCTAGAACTTCCAATACTATATTGAATAGGACTGGTGAGAGAGGGCATCCTTGTCCAGTGCCAGATTTTAAAGGGAATGCTTCCAGTTTTTGCCCATTCAGCGTAATATTGGCTGTGGGTTTCTCGTAAACAGCTTTTATTATTTTGAGATACATTCCATCAATACCTAGTTTGAGACTTTTTAGCATAAAGGGCTGTTGAATTTTGTCAAAGGCCTTCTCTGCATGTATTTAGATAATCATGTGTTTTTTGTCTTTGGTTCTCTTTATGTGCTGGATTACATTTATAGACTTGTATATGCTGAACCAGCCTTGTATCCCCCACATGAAGCCTACTTGATCATGGTAGATAAACTTTTTGATGTGCTGTTGCAATTGGTGTGCCAGTATTTTATTGAAGATTTCTGCAGCTATGTTCATCATGGATATTGGCCTGAAGTTTTTTTGTTGAGTCTCTCCTGGGTTTTGGTATCAGGATGATGTTGGTCTAAGAAAATGATTTGGGAAGGATTCCCTCTTTTTGGATTGTTTGGAATAGTTTCAGAAAGAGTGGTACCAGCTTCTCTTTGTACGTCTGGTAGAATTCAGCTGTGAACCCACCTGGACCTGGACTTTTTTTGGTTGGTAGGCTATTAATTGCTGCCTCAAGTTCAGTCATTGTTATTGGTCTATTCAAAGTTTCAACCTCTTCCTGGTTTCTGCTTGGGAGGGTGCAAGTGTCCAGGAATTTATCCGTTTCTTCCAAGTTTACTGGTTTATATGCACAGAGTTGTTTGTAGTAATCTCTGATGGTAGTTTATATTTCTGTGGAATCGGTAGTGATATCCCCTTTATCATTTTTTATTGTATGTACTTGATTCTTTTCTTTTTTATTAATCTGGCTAGCAGTCTATTTTGTTATCTTTTCAAACAACCAGTTCCTGGTTATGTTGATTTTCTTGTAGGGTTTTTTTGTGTCTCTTACCTCCTTTCATTCTGCTTTGATCTTAGTTATTTCTTGTCTTCTGCCAGCTTTTGACTTTTTTGTATCTTGCTCTTCTAGCTCTTTCAATTTTGATGATAGGGTGTTGATGTTAGATATTTCCTTGCTTCTCATGGGCATTTAGTGCTATAAATTTCCCTCTAGACACTGCTTTAAATGTGTCCCAGAGATTGTGGTACATTATGTCTTCATTCTCATTGGTTTCGAAGAACATCTTTATTTCTGCCTTCATTTCACTGTTTATCCAGTCATCATTCAGGACCAGTTGTTCAGTTTCCATTTAGTTGTACGGTTCTGAGTTAGTTTCTTAATCCAGAGTTCTAATTTGATTGCACTGTGGTCTGAGAGACTGGTTGTTATGATTTCTGTTTTTTTGCATTTGCTGAGGAGTGATTTACTTCCAATTATGTGGGCAGTTTTAGAGTAAGTACGATGTGGTGCTGAGAAGAATTATGTTCTGTGGATTTGGGGTGGAGAGTTCTGTAGATGTCTATTAGGTTTGCTTGATCCAGATCTGAGTTCAAGTCCTGGATATCTTGTTGATTTTCTGTCTCGTTGATCTGTCTAATATTGACAGTGGAGTGTTAAAGTCTCCCACTATTATTGTGTGGGAGTCTAAGTCTCTTTGTAGGTCATTAAGAACTTGCTTTATGTATCTGGATGCTCCTGTATTGGATGCATATATATTCAGGA